CCCCAAAACCCCAAAACCCCAAAACCCCAAAACCCCAAAACCCCTTAGATTTTCATAGAAATTGAAAAACTTTTTTACCCATTTATCGAACTCTAGATGTCCTACTTATCCAGACTGATACTTCTGAGAGATTTATTGCTGAACAATGTGTTTGTTTCATCAGTGCCGAAAGGAGAGGTATCATTAACCATACTTCCATCTCGAGGGGGATCTAGGTATTGCTCAATATTACTTGCATAAGAAGAGAATCTTGATAAAATCTCCTCTTCAACTTTTGGCTTAACCACAGGCTTTTTAACTTGAATCATTTTTCTACTAAAAGGATGAGGAGATGATTCTGGCATTGCTTCCATTAATTTGTGAGAATTAGTATTCTTACAGCCATGGATCCCATTCTATAAAAATTGAGCAAAAGTGATAGTCTAAAGTTCTACAAAGATGAAAATTTTAATAACTATTTATCAGAAATAGGGTTTAAAATGAGGGTTTACAAATCTTTGTGAAAATTTCTGGAACTCTAACAACACTCCTATTTAGATCAACAAAGCATAATCCTACCTATCATAATGTTTATGTTAGGAAAGATCGAGGAAGTTTAATTAATCCCTTGAGATTCTTAAATAAAATTGGAGAATTTCAGTAGAAAAGAATTGGTAGTTAAAAAGGACGAGTAGCTCTAAACGATTACTAACTAAAGATGTTCCAAGATACACTTGTAGGTCCCCCAAGATTTATAAGTCCACAATTTTATGTACACTGTTCATCTGAAATCCTATTCAAGGCAAGCTTCTTATTTTAAGCTTTAGATCAGAGTGTTAAGGGATAAAAATGAATATAATTTTAGCTGAGAAAGTCATCAAATTCTTATATATGTAGCTCCTTTTAACCCCAGCAGCTTTTATCTTGAGCTAAGTTATGGCTTACCTCACTTGCACGGTTGTGAAATTGTGAATTAAGCGTGATAAAATTGAGAATAACTTCCTTTTCTTTCATTTTTGAGGAATTTGAGTCCTTCCTGATCAACATTCTAGAGGGAGAGAAAGCCTTATTTGTACATTTCAACAGGAGTATTCTTACTAAGAAGTTTCAGTGATGAAATTTGACTTTTGCATGCCTTTAAGACTTTTTCAGGGGTTATATCTTTTAGAAGAGTGTTTCGGGACCCAGGATCAGGCCTCTTCTTACCAGCAGAAGGGGCTATAATGGCCTTATACCTCTCTGCTAGAGAAACTACTGGCTCTTTCTTGTCATTTTTATTCGAAGCATTACTTTTCTTAGAGTCATGATTAAAATCTATGTTTAAAGCTATGAATTACTCCCTAAAGAAAGATTTGCAGGCATCTTTTTCTTATTGGAGGTAAACTCATTCTCATGATAATTTTTAGAAGGTTTATGAGAAGGCATATTTAGTTGAGGAAGTTGATAACCATGCTTGCTCTTCCTCTCCCTCCTCTTTCCGTTATAAAAGCTTTTCTAAATATGAGTCAGAAAAATACTCTAAAAGGCTGTTTTGGGATAAAGGAATTTCTACTAGTTGTCGGGGTTTTGATAGATGTTGGATCTTTATTTCTATCTATAAAACCGTTGTTAAGAAATATTGCTCGAAATACCTTCAGCAAGCTGGTTTGATAACTTCTGAGCTTTGACTTTATACTCAAGACTTGGAATCTCTTGCATTGGAGTTGGTCAGTAGTTGAAAAGTGGCTTTCCATCTGTCCTTTCTCCGGTCTGAATCTTCTAAAAATGTAGCTGATTCATACATCGAGAGAGATTTTTGTGTTGGGTCTTCTGCCTTCAGATAGAAGCTGGAATTCCCTTGGTTCAAGAAGAGAAGGTTTCGAGATTTGTGTAGATTTGTCAAATTTATTTCTTTTCAATTTTTATGCTTCATTTTGGCTGTGATGACACTCTTTTCCTAGATTTTACCCTCTCTTTAATCTTATCAACTAAAAATCTTGTAAAGTAATGAATTTATGATAAATTATCAAAATCGGGTATGTATTTGACCAAAAATAAAGTCAAAGGGTCTATATCTACTAAATTCGAGAAAACTACTCTGAGTCATTCTCAATGCATTTGGTAGTAAATTTAGCAAGTCCTTACTTGTAGGCAAGGATAGCATACTTCCTTTAAGTAAAAAGCTGGAATAGTTTCGCTTCATTTCTTCTGTTTCGAATATATTTTAGTTTATCAAACTCGTAAAATATAAATGGGGTTTTGGGGTTTTGGGGTTTTGGGGTTTTGGGG